TTCCTTCCTTCCTTGGATTCCTGCCTGGCGCAGGGGGTTGGGCTGGATGGCCTCAGGGTGTCCCTTTCTGACTCCATCCTTCTGTGGTTCTATGAGGTGAGGGACCTGACGTGAGGCCAGAGGACCTGGACAGCTGGCAGGTCATCAGGCCGCCTTCTTCAGCACTCCAGTGAGATGCGTCGTAATTCTGTTTACAAGATCTAAGCAGTTTTCGAATTCTTCCTTTGGGCATCATAAATCAGCGCATTTCATTTAATGGATAACAGCGTCTCCTTTTGTTCTGCTCTCAGGAGACGAGTTAAGCAGCCACCCTACCCTCAGCATTACCCCAAAAATGTGTAATTATTTTAACAGGAAGGACACAGGAAATAAAAAATAAGCAAGATTAATCATGGCCCATGTGCTCGTACAAAGACAACAATGGAGCTAAACATTTTGTTACCACGATAATGCCTATTTTAGAGCCTTTCTCACTCTTTTCCTTTACTTTCCATAAAATGGCATAATCCTTGAAATGGTATAATTGCTTTGTACGCAGAGGCACTTCATAAAATGAGACCCAGCGCGACAATTTACTCGCCCGGTGCTTAAATCCAAAACTGATAAAAGATTGCCTGTCCTCTTAATGATGACAAACGGCTTGGCATTTCAGATGTGCAAGCTGTCTCTCTCCCGTTCCTTCCGGTATCACAAAACGACAAACTGATGATACCGAAATAACTCGTAATGAGATCCCTCAGAGTCCAGCCTTAAGCACGCTTGCACAACAAAACAGGCCTAATAGAACGCCTCAGGATTTACCTCTGAATAAATCAACACACACATACACATGGTTGTGTTGTCAATGGGTTCGAAAGCAGCTGACACACCTGCAAAAAATGTCTTGAAAAAACGCTATAGCTGCCAGCCGCCGTGAGTGTGACCTAAAGGGCCAAATTATCCTGGCTTGGATTGGTCCCGACCGTGTAAACAGGCTCACTTCGAGGTGATGAATTGAGCATCATTCTCCATGAGCCCTGTTTAGCTCTCCCGAGTTTTGAATTTCTGGTAAAATTCTTTTTGCTACATAGTAGAAGTACGGAGAACCATGGAAGAGAATAGCTTCAAGTTTCCCAAATAGTCCACTCCTTTCCCATTAACTGGCCATTTAAAGTCTCAATAAAGCAAAAGCAAAACCAAGCATGCCGCTTATATACCGCTCCATAGCACTTCTAGCACTCTCTGGGCGATTTACAAGTTGATTATGCAGGCTACACATTGCCCAGCATAGCGAGCTGGGTACTCATTTTACCCACCTTAGAAGGATAGAAGGCTGAGTGAACCTTGAGCTGGCTACCTGCAGTGATCACTGGTTCTTGTGGCTGGGTAGAGTTCGTTGACTTTTTTGCAGACTGTATTTTTCAATAACTTCCCTGTGTATCAGTGATCACTGCACACAGTAGGCTAGCTAATGACATCCATCAATCACAGTGACAGATCATTTCCCCCCCTCATCACAACAATACACCCATAACAAAAAACACCCTGATCACCATAATCACCCAATCTCCTGAAAAGGACAAAAAGCTGATCCCACAGCTACAAATACTAAACTATCCCACACACGACACCAGAACACAAAGTTCTAACTCCTGTCCTCTGAAAATGCTGGCCACAGAGACTGATGAAACGTTAGCAGGAAGAACCTTACGAACATGGCCAAACAGCCTGAAAACCCTACAACAACCATTGTTTCTTTCCTTGTTCAGAGGCTCGCTGGCTGTCCCTCTCATGAGCTGTTTTAACAGTTTTGAGAAAGGGAAACCTTCCTTTTCACTTGCCTTAGAAGGAGAAGGGAAAGAAAGTTTTGCATTTCTTTTTAATTCTTGCCAATGTACCAGTGATGTTTTGAAAGGTTTTTTTAAAGCCCTATAAAAGCACTGCTGAGGCGCTGTGTCAGTTAGCAACAAATAAAAATAAGTGGAGAGCTTTCCCTCCTTTCCCCTCCCCTGGAGAGCCAAAGGGAAGGTTTTTATCTCTTAAAATTCATAAATCCTTTAAGCAAAGGGTCAGCTTTAGCCATCCACTTGGGTTCGATCCTTGCAATGACACATATTAGAACCAAACCCAAACGGAGTGGTCCTACCCTCACTGAAAAACTGTAGCCTCTGATAGTTACATGCCGTCAAGTCAGGACCAGGTTACAGAGGCCCTCAGAGCACTGCCAAGATCCGTGAAGAATTTAAGGAGTGGTTTTAGCCGTTCCACTCTTGCAGTCCGTTATCGTGGCAGAGTGGTGATTTGAACCCAGGTCTTCAGAGTCCTAGTCTGTCTCTCTATCCACTACACCACACTGGGTACCCAGCTCCTGATTGGGACCCCAAAAGCTACAGGTTAGCATCTGTCGTGGGTCGGCTGGTTTGTGACGGCACCGATCTCGTGTGGCCCCTGGCAAAAGGTGCTGGAACAGCCTGGTCCCCAGTCCAGACCAACTCACAGGGCAAACACCCTTCTCATCATCATTCCTGGTAACCCTCTGACCACTGTCCTTGCAGGCATGGGGGTGCCCACCATCACAGCTGCCCGGATCTACCAAGGCCAACTGGCTGGAGGCTCCGGGGAAGAGAATGTCCTGGCTATGGAGAAATTCCCTTATGTCGCCCTGTCCAAGGTGGGAGTGTATGCCAAGGAAGAGCGTGTCTCTGTATGCTGCTGTGTTCACCCTCCCCGGGAGGAACCATTGCTTCCAGGGAAGCCTTTCATCTTGCCAGGCCTTTTGCTTTGAGCTAGGCATGGGGAAACCTCCAGCCGAGAGGCCGCAGATGGCCTGTGGGAGGTCCTCATCGCTTCCTGCTGCCCTCATCTCGTGCAAACCCTTAGTCCTACTTCTCAGTTTGAAGGAAGCCCATGTAGGTCTTCCTGCATTTTCTCCCCTTTTCCTCTCCTCTGCCTGGTCTCTCTCTGCCCTTCGTACTGTTCTCCCCTCACACAACACAGCTGAGATTCGGACACTGCACGTTTCCTCAGCACAGAATCTGTTTTACTGGCCAAAGAGAGCAGAAGGTGTATTCTGCAGCAGAGCTTTGCATTTTGGGGGGAAATTTCCTCTAGCCATGCAGCAGATGGGAGGGATTCACCAGTGTAGCTTCAAGTCCCCCAATTTATCCACCCCTTTTTTCCTCATCAATGGTCCCCTACAGTCTCAACAACACACTCCTTGACACCCGTAGGAGAGAATAGAAAAGGTTTCATTACTTACAATAGAATCGGTCAAACAGCAAACTGACAAACGAGACTGCTTTCAGCAACAGATTTTAACAGGCTCCTGAGAGGGGGTTTAAAAAAAAACACTTCTCAGCAAAGAGGTTGGGCTCTCTTTAAAATCAGAGGTCAGGAAGGAACAATGTGTTAGTGCTGGAGAGACTAACCACCACCCCAGACCAGAAAAGTTTCCCCTAGCGGCCAAACCTGCAAGGTTGCAAAAAACAAACAAACAAACAAACAAATGGCCAAACCTGCAAGATTGCAAAAAACAAACAAACAAAACAAAACAAACAAACAAACAAAATACTCCAACACATTCCCGGAGATACAAGCCTTAAAGATAATTATCTCCAGGCAAGTCCCAGATCTATCCTTAGGCTAGTTCATAAAGCCATTGACATCTCCGGGAATGTGTAGCGGGTGCAGCCTCAATGCCATGGAAGAGCCGTAGGTCAGTGGCAGACTTACTTGCACTGCAAGTGGAAGATCCCCAGGTAAAGCTGGGGGGTGGGTGGGTGGAAATCATACCTGAAACCCTGATGAGCCACAGTGGCCAAGGTCGGCCCTACTGAGTGTAGGAGTCAAGGGTCTGACTAGCTGTTTCTGTATCCCCCCCCCCCCCCGCTAAGTAACACAATGGAGATCTTGATGCTAGAAATGGTTATGTGTTCAGGGGCTGATTTAAATACCGTATTTTTCTGTGTATAAGACTATACTTTTGTCTAAAATCTTCAGACTAAAATTTGAGGGTCGTCTTATACAGTGGGGTCTCTGCTTAAGAACGTCTCTACTTAAGAACAATCCAACTTAAGAACAGCTCCATTTGCTAAATTTTGTTTCTACTTGAGAACAGAAATCCAAGATAAGAACAGGAAAAAAAACCTTTCCTGCTCTTTTTTTAACCTTAGGTCTTCTTAGGTTAAAAAAAAAATTCTCCCCCTAGTGGTAGAGTACGTATTAACCAGCTTTGCATTAGTTCCTATGGGAACAAATGCTTCAGTGTACGAACACACCTCTACATAACAAAAAAACAGCCAGAACGGATTAATTGGTTTTCAGTCCATTCCTATGGAAATTTTGCTTCAACTTAAGAACGTTTCAACTTAAGAACACCATTCCAAAACCGATTAAGTTCTTAAGCAGAGGTTCCACTGTAGTTTCTATGGACGGAAAAGAGCAGATACAGATTAAATGGTTTTCAATGCATTCCTATGGGAAATGCAGATTCAACATAAGAACTTTTCAACTTGAGAACCACCTTCCAATACGGATTAAGTTCTTAAGTAGAGGCCCCACTGTACTTGGAAGTAATCTGAAGAGAAAACAAAAACAAGTGGAGGGGATAGCAGGGATCAAAGCGATCCTGCAGGGCTTTGATCCCTTTCCCCCTACACTTGCCAAGCCCCACTTAGATTTCTTAATTTTGGAGTAGAAAAGTGGGGCCGTCTTATACATGGAAAAATACGGTAATAATAATTGGTGATCCCAGCACAGAGGGACTTGCTCTCCAACTAAACGAACCTACAGCAACTCCTGAAACATCCCTTTTCTGGGCGGCTGTTAAAATTCCCCGTCTGGCATCATTTCTCCGCCACCTTTGCTCGATGGAAGAAGGTGGCCCCCAGCCTCGCCGCTCGGCCCCGGCGTGGAGTCACGACGCCTTCTCCTTTCTCTCGGCAGACATACAACGTCAACCGGCAGGTGCCGGACAGCGCCGGGACTGGGACGGCCTACTTGTGCGGGGTGAAGGCCAACGCGAAAACCTTGGGTCTGAGCGCGGCCGCCGTGTACGGCAAGTGCAACACCAGCTTTGGCAACGAGGTTTATTCTGTCCTGCATCGGGCCAAATTATCAGGTAGGGGCCTCAAGGAAGAAAAATTCCCTGGAGCAATCAGGAGGTGGGGGTGGGGGTGGAAACAAAGACCTTTCTTTCCCCGAGGTTTTTAAAACTTTGGGCTGCAAGTGCCTTAGTTTCTGGGGCATGTGTGTGAATGTTGCAACGGTTGCCGGTGGGCTCCTGCCTTTTCAGCAGCAAATGTTTGCCCAGTTGCCCCCCATCTTGGTTACACAGAAGGGACGTGGTGCTGCTGCAGGCTAAACCGCAGAAGCCTCTGTGCTGTAAGGTCTATAGATCTGCAGTTGTAAGATCGAATCCACATGACGGAGTGAGCCCCCGTCGCTTGTCCCAGCTCCCACCAACCTAGCGATTTGAAAGCATGCAAATACGAGTAGATAAATAAGGACCACCTCGGTGGGAAGGTAACAGCGTTCCGTGTCTAAGTCGCACTGGCCATGTGACCACGGAAGATTGTCTTCCGACAAAACGCTGGCTCTATGGCTTGGAAACGGGGATGAACACTGCCCCCTAGAGTCGAACACGACTGGACTAAAAAATTCCCCTCGGAACCTTTACGTTTACCTTTAAAATCGCATTCGCTTTATTTGCAGCCAAATCACGCTGTTGGCTCCTACCGCTCTGCCCTCTCTCCCCTCTCTCTCACTCTCTCTGTGGCTCCTGATTTCTGTAATATCTCTCCTCCCCCTCCCCACCACAGGCAAGTCGGTGGGGATCGTGACCACTACCCGCGTTCAGCACGCTTCTCCAGCAGCCTCGTATGCACATTCGGTCAGCCAGGAATGGTACAGTGACACAGATATGCCCAAAGATGACATCCGGGAGGGGTGCAAGGACATTGCCTACCAGCTGGTGCACAACACGGACATTAACGTGAGTGAGGGATTTGGT